AGCCAGCTTCCACTAGCTGTTGCTTTGACCAACACCAGAATCTGCACAATAAGTGCAGATGTATAGCATGAGTACAACCGCCCCCATGTACTCTGTAAGTGCCGAGCCTAACCTCAACGAAGTAGTGACGAGGCTATAACAAGACACTCACTATAAACCTGCGTGAATATAAGTGAAATAATAGCAAAAATAGAGGAAAAACAAGAATTTAACATAAAACCGATACTGAAAACACATAACAGAGGGCCCCAGAATAACACATATGCTCAACTCCTCAATTCAACACGGATACAGTAACAACAGTTAAACACAATAAAATATATCTTATTCGTTACTGCACGCAACCCTATCCACAAATATGTATACATAACATGTCTTTTCCTTTGCGGCGCGCAGCCCGATCCAAAATACATATATACACATACCGTTGCGGCGTGCAACCCGATCCCAAACAATTATACCAATATCCGTTGCGGCGTGCAACCCGATCCCACACAATAATACCAATAACCGTTGCGGCGTGCAACTCGATCCCACACAATAATAATATACATGTACAACTACAACCAACTACGACGCTTCTCAAATAAAATGCAATAAGAGAATTACCTAATTAAAGACATTAAGCGGAATAAAAGTGGCTATCTAACAACACACAAAGTCACAAGGCAAGTTAAGGCAGTCAATAAATAAAGGCACGGATACATGAAATAATTAGCAATTAAGGCATGTAATGGATAAAGGCATGAATTTAACAAATAAAGGCAAGTAACAATTAAAGCATTTAACAAGTAATAACATGGATTAAATGAAGCATGAAATAATTAAAAACAATAAATAAATATCCCAACCCGCATGCTTAACCTTGCATATACATCGTCCCCACACATAAATCAAATAGCAAATAATCCAATCAAGTCCTAATTCCTTCAAGTCAAGGTTAACCACGACACTTACCTCTTCCCGCAACCAAATTAATGATCCACCACGGCTTTTCCTTTAGAATTAGCCTCCAAACCAATCAAATCTAGCCAAATATAGTCCAAATAATTCAAAATAAGCTTTAGAAACTACCCTCGAGCGAAAAAGATTCAATCTTTAAAGAAATTGGAAAAAGTCAACAAAAGTCAACCCCGATCCCGCTTGGTTAAAATCAAAGATCCGGACCAAAATCCGATTACCCATTCACCCCATAGCCCGGTATGTGATTTGTTTCGAAATCCGACCTCTATTTGAGTTCTAAATCTCAATTTTACGAAATTCCTAAATTCTACCTAAATTCCTAATTTCTACTATGGAAATCCTAGATTTGATGTTAAAAACTCATGAAAAGTAATGCGGAATTGATAGAAAATGAATCAGAGTTGCTTACCAATGAATTTGGGAAGAAAGGGTTCTTCAAAAATCGCCACTGGAGTGTTTGGGGTTGAGAAATGGTGTAAAATGAGCTAAGTCTCATTTTTTCCCTCTTTTACCCACCTGCAGGTATCGCATTTGCGAACTCTTATTCGCAATTGCGATGCCCGCAAATGCGACACACTGATTGCAAATATCAGGCCCAGCAAAGTCGCAAATGCGACATGCTATTCGCAAATGCAAACTGCCCCCATCGCAATTGCGAAGCTCACTCCCAAGACACTTTGTCGCAAATGCGATTCTGATATCGCAAATGCGGTCTCAGCTTGGTTCGCAATTGAGAACTATTCTTCGCAAAAGCGAAATTCCAGCCCTCCTGCCCTTTTCGCAAATGCAATCGTGTGACCGCAAAAGCGAGCCTGACCTCGTAATTGCAAGATCTGCAACATGCACCAGCAATTGAAATGCACCAACAGTTGCTTAATGACCCAAACTCTTCCGTAACACACCCGAAACTCATCCGAGCCCCTCGGGTTTCAAACTAAACATGCACACAAGTGTAATAACATCTGACAAACTTGCTAGCTACATCAAATCATCAAAATAACATTAATCAATCATTAAAACTCAAGAATTTTCAACTTAAAACTCATTTTCACAATTTTTCGAAATGCGCTCGGGTCACCCCGGACCCCAACCAAACTTGCGTACAAGTCTAAAAACATCATACGAACCTACTGGAATCGTCAAAACACCGATCCGAGGTCGTTTACGAAAAATGTTGACCGTGGTCAAATCAAGTCCCATTTTAAGCCTAAAAGCACTTTTTCTTCAAACTTTTACTTAAAAAACTTTCCGGAGAACGACACGGACCACGCACGAAAATCAAGAAACATCAAATGGAGCTAATAGAGGTCTCGGAACACGGAAGGCTAGTACTCAAAATGACCTATCGGGTCGTCACAAAGAAGCTAATGCTCAAGTGCAATTAACCTTTGATCCTGCTTACAGTTCATGGCTATCTCGGTAAAGAGTTCCTTAGTTAAGCCTAAATTTATGACCTCATCTCGTCGCCCATCTTCAAGACCCCATTTTATCTGCTGCATATGTTACACACAGAATATCAATCTAGCCTTGTATGGCGGCTTAATTTAACAGAAAATTACATAATCAAAAAGAAAATTAAAGAAGTAATCGATCTAGATTCATTCATTTACATTCAACTGAATGCATATACTCACGATTTTCAGTTCAAGAACCTTAATACTCCAGTAAGCTAGAACGCTAGAACGGTACTCTTTTGCTTTTGTTTTGCATCTCATTCTCATAGCAAGTACCAGCCAGGTAGTAAGGATTGTGAACCGTATGGATACCATTTTAATATATTCTCATTCTTCATGAAGGGAGTATGAAAGGTTGGAGTAGCAAATATTGAGACGTTAAGTTTCTTTACAATATGAAATATGAAGGAGTAGATAGAATAGTAATAATTGAGATATTTATTCCAACAATAAGTCTTTTGCAATAAAGGAATAGAAATGAGTGGAGTAGTAATAATTGAGACATTTATTCCTACAATAAGTCTTTTACAATAAGGAATAGGAATGGGTGGGCTAGTAATATTTGAAATATTTATTCTTACAATAAGATAAAATAAATAGAAAGAAGGGGAAAAAGCCAAAAATGGATAAAATTTAGAATGTAGAGAAGATCAAAGGGTGTAAAAGTTGGCCATATGAAGGGGTATTACGTTTGTCTTTATTCCAATTAATCTTTTTCATTTATTTTTATGAGAATATGTATTTACTTCTTTGTACAAAAAATTTTTTGAAGTAATATTTGACTGAAAGGTAAATTTGTAAAAACTTTTGACTTAGGGGTGTTCCCACTTTTAGTATATGATATGGTATGATATGACATGGTGATTGCATGAAGTGAGAGGAAGAAGGGGAGTACTGTATTTAGTACAACATCTCGTCATACATCATACCATCATGAGAAGAAGAAACACCAACATATTTTCCTTTTATGTCACTTCCTGACCAAAAGGACAAGAGTGGATTGCTCTAGTGGTGAGCACCCTCCACTTCCAACCAAGAGGTTGTGAGTTCGAGTCACCCTAAGAGCAAGGTGGGGAGTTCTTGGAGGGAGGGAGCCGGGGGTCTATCGGAAACAACCTCTCTACCCTAGGGTAAGGGTAAGGTCTGCGTACACACTACCCTTCCCATACCCCACTAGTGAAATTATACTGGGTTGTTGTTCCTGACCAAAAGAACAATTGTTTTTGGCAATGCACCACAGTTTTTTGCAGTGTATCACAACACTCTTTATCAGCCTGGGTGCCCCAAGGTAAGTATATTCGAGTTGCAGCGATATTATACATGGCCCGAGAGGAGCATGGGTGCACGTGAACCCATACCCCTCATGTGGATCCGTCACTACATATACCAGTCATGAGCTATCTCCCATACCTAGGAGGCAGTAGCTTCTGGGATAAAGCTAAGTCAATATGATATGCGAGCAAGCATGGAGGCTGAACCATAATGTCGTGGTGAAGGAGGTCTACTGTAATAATACGGAATTAGTAACTGGTGAAATATCAAACTACACAAAATTTTAGTGAATATTCAAGCCATCAGCGTGGTTGATCAAACAAGTACCTAAGGCTTTGCACAAACTTCATTCTTCCCCGGCTAGCTTGCAACAAGTCCTGGTGTAAGCATTGACATGGCTATAACATCCAAATGGCAGTGTAGGACAGACAACATATTTGCCAAAATGCATACTGCACAGGCCATGGACAGTAATTTCAATAAAAGAAATAGGCCCACCTAAAGTTCATCAATAAAAAGTTAAAATCTTAAAAAGATGAGTGTCTTTAAGCGACTATATATAATGAAAATTACAGTTTAGCAAATAGTTATTCCATTTAGTGCAATGACAGTTCTACTACAATTTATTCACAACAATCAAAATGAAAAAAAAAAACAGAAACAAATACATGCTGAGCCTTTGAAAAGTGAACATTGTGCTAAAAGTGAATATGATGTACAAGAGCGTTTGGCAGGAGTCTTGTGTTTGAGACGTGAACTACTCAAGTGTTGGTGCAACTTCAGTTCAAATTTTAGGGATGTCTTTAGGTGATTTATTTTTGTGATAGAGAAGTCTGCTACTAAGTCCTCAATTTGAAGGAAAGTGACATTTTTGTTACAAATATGGAACAGGGTTCTTTCTGGTATTTCCAGGCATAAAAGTAACATGTTCTTGACAAATAGATCCTAAACGTTTTAGCAAATGGATAGAAAGGTTGCACATACTATCTGGAAAGCAATATTGTCCTACTTCAAATTAATAGCTCATTGCAGGCCATTCCGGTCCATAACTTCCAAATGGAAACCATAGAGAAACTTGAAATTTTTTGAATACCTAAAGTTGCAAAGACATGCTTTGTTAAGCTGTAGTATTGCTTCTTCATTTATTCCTTTGTACTTCATCAGGAAATTGAGTCCTATTTCAGCACAGTTGAACTTAGGTTTAGCAGCATGCAGCCCTTGTGCATGTGATCATTTGGAACATTTTAATTTAATACTACTGTGCATTCTATCTTGATTTTCTTTTGCCCTTCATCAGTCTTGATTTCGTTTGTTTGTTCTTGACTTATGTTACTCAGCAAACCAGCGAGTGCCATTGTTGGAGTAGCTCACCATGTCTCATTTATGCGTCCATATGGACTATTTGACATCGCTGCCGTTTCACTTGCCAATTCTTTGACTCATTTTGCTTTTCTGGATAGTATTTCCGACAAGATGGATTACATTGGAATCAATTACTATGGACAGGTATTGGAGTGTTTGGACAAAGTTCAAATGGAAAAACTCTTGTTGCCTCATTTTTTTGACATTAAACTCTGTGCTTCTTTGACTTGAGCAGGAAGTCATTTGTGGTGCAGGGTTGAAACTAGTGGAGAAAGATGAGTACAGTGAATCTGGGCGTGGAGTCTATCCTGATGGCTTGTTCCGTGTGTTGCTCCAATTTAATGAAAGATACAAACATCTTAATCTTCCCTTTGTAATCACTGAAAATGGTGTTTCTGATGAAACGGACTTGATTAGAAAACCATACTTGTTGGAACATCTGCTTGCAACTTACGCAGCCATGATAATGGTTTTGACTCTTTGGACTTCATATCTTAATATATTCCAAGACTTCACCAACTTTATTTGATTGGTAATGTGGACTTGCTTCTTTTTACTAATTCAGGGTGTTCGTGTGCTTGGGTACTTGTTTTGGACTATCTCTGATAACTGGGAATGGGCGGATGGGTATGGTCCCAAGTTTGGACTTGTAGCAGTTGATCGTGCCAATAATCTTGCTCGGATTTCACGTCCTTCATACAATTTGTTTTCAAAGGTAACCCTTCTTTCTGATATCTCCTCGTATTCTTCTTGATAATTTTGCTGACGTCATGATTTTCAGATTGTAGCATCTGGCAAAATAATGCGGGAAGACAGGGAACGTGTGTGGGGTGAGCTCCAAACCGCCGCTAACGAGGGAAAAAAGAGACCATTCTATCGATCAGTGAATAAATATGGCTTTATGTATGCAGGTAATACAGAAAAGTCAAGTCTACTTTTGGCCTGAAACAGGTTCCAGACAATTCAAGATTTTAATCAAAATTTTGATCTATACCTCCTTGGAAATCTAAATAAAAGGCATAATTGAGCCAAATTTTAGATCTAGAGTAGACATACTGCAATTTTGAATCTAAAAGAAGCTACGTCATGATGGATTCCTCCAGATGCTAATTTGGTGCCACTGCTCGGTAGTTCCATTTGTCTGTTTATCTAGCCATAAATAACTTTCATATGAGGGGTTTCTGATGTTTTACACTTGCTGGATAGCATTCTACAAGACAAATGGCTTTACTCATTGCTAATGATCTGTTCGTTTCTCAGGAGGCCTCGATGAGCCCATATGGCGACCTTATGTAAAAAGAGATTGGCGGTTTGGGCACTATAAGATGCAAGGTTTGCAGGATCCGTTGAGCCGTTTTGCACGATGTCTTCTGCATCCTTTCTCACTCAAAAAGAAGGCAGAGACAGAGAGAGAGAGTGATACATTTACTCTTGAGTCTCTCATGGCAAATATCTAGTTACTACTGCATCAGATTGTTTAAAAAATTCTCCTTGAGAATCCTTAACCGGATGCTATAGTAAGGTATGCCTGTCAGCAATGGCCCCGCCTTTTTTCCCTGATGGATGAATATTATTTTTCCATTGAATGCCTTTTTTCCCTGATGTGATGATTAGGAGATAAATAAGATCATGCAGAATGCTATTATTTCTGTAGTATATTTTAGTGCTATATATAATTAGTTTCTTATTAAGCTTCTGTTAATATTTATTTACTTAGGAATCTAAATTTAGATGGAGGGTATTGTTCTTTATCTAGGGTTTTGTGAAGCCTCTGAACTTCAACTCTGGTTTTAGTTTTTTATTTTACTGCTTTGCGCGTGTACCTTTTTATCAATAATATAATAACTTCTTAAGAACAACATAACTAATATTCAAAAATAGTTTTGCGTTATAAAATAAAAATTAACAAAAAATTGCGAGTTCTTGAAAACAATAAATGTTAATCATGTCTGGTGTATGAATCCACTTTAGTAATTTTTCCTCCGGTTTGTTTCAGTATTTACTTACGGTATAAACAATATTTGGGAGTAGTCTTTCTTTTTGCAGTGTTTGTGCAAATTCTAGTTTTAGGCCGTGCGCTTTGCTTGTGTACCTATATTAATGACTATACAATTAAAAAAATATTTTTTATTCGCCCGCCAAAAAAATTTATTTTCTTTCTCCCTCCCGATAGTTCTTACACCACAAGAAACTATAGGATTTCTTTATTATTCAAGTATTCAACTGAAAGTTTTTGGGTAGCTTCTTTCATTAAACTTTTTTTTCTGATGTTTGATGTGAATAATATAACATCTCCAAAAGAATGAAATTTAAACTTTTTTTCATGAGTATATGTTATTTATTTGATGCATTGTGCATATAGGAACGCTAATGTGCATTAACCCTTTATCAATTCACTTTATTTTGTTAATTGTTTGTTTTTTTTTCTTTGTAAATAAAAGAGTATACAAATTCTTTTTCTTTTCAAAATAGTTGATATATTTTTCAAAATCTTGTCTTTACTTATAAATTATCATCATATAATAATTTGGTGCCTGTTATTTTATATTTTATTTAAAAGCAATCATTTCACCATAGTGCATGTCATTCCATATAATATATTATTTTATGTAAGTGTGAACTTATGCAAAAGACACAAACATATTTAAATGATATTGTTGTAATTTTTCAAAATCATGTGTAGTAAATATTTAAATGTTATAATTATATCAAATAAGAATTCAATTCCTAAAGCGTTAAAGAAATTGATTTGATATTTGACTTAACTTTTATGTTTGCAGAATCATTAGTGTTACCATTATATCTCTCCCTCTACCTCTCCCTCTCTTAAATTGTTAAGTATATATTTTCCAAGTTATTTATTCTAATTATTGAGTGTAGTTTTTAAACCTTATACAAAAAAAAAACAGTAAATAGAAAATATATTGTTTGAGTAGGAAGCAGTTCAAATATAATATGAAGATGCATTATAGGTAATATATATAGTCAAAGGTAATATGGAATTAATACAGTTACTTTACATTGTTTAAATAAAAATATAATTTACATAAGGCGTTTGAAATATTTATTTATTTAAAAGTCCTAAATATTTAGACTTCCTACATAGTTTAATAAGTAAGAATTTAATTTTATTAATTTCAAAGTTTGAGCAACCTATGCTAAGTGTGTCAAATAGTAAATCTTATTATGTCATATGTTGATTATAGAAAAAAATGGCTTAAACGGAAGAAAGACACTTGCGATGAATAATTATTCTTATTAAATGATTCGTGAATAAGGTAAGTAAAAACGTATAATGTTGAATAGTGGGTCATGGACTAAAAGCGTGGTTTAATTAGTTTGAGTGAATATAACTTCGTGCTTTTAATATAGTATATGGATATAGATTATATTCCGACAAGTATGAGCACTGGGCTTGATATCTTTTGAAGGACCTACGGATGAGTTGGAACATGCATCTGACTATATCAATAAAATTATGAGTAGACTGTAGTAAGATGTCAAGGCAGTCAATCTTGCATAACTAGGCTTTGGATCTTAAAATATTTCAATCTTACGCTTGCGCGTGTACTTCGTATCATGAGTACTCCCTCTGTTTCAGTTTATGTGAATCTATTTTATTTTTAGTCCGTTCCAAAAAGAATGATCCCTTGCTAAATTTAGAAGTAATTTAACTTAAACTCTCAATTCTACCTTCAACGAGAAGCTTTTATAGCCACACAAATATTATGACTTGTGTAGGACAACAAGTTTTAAAAGTCTCATTTTTTTTTTAACTCCGTGTCCAGTCAAATTGGTTAACATATGGAGTAATATTTTTTGAAATAAATGACGTAAATATTATTAAAAATATGTCTGACTTATAAAATAAAAATTAAAGGAAAGTGAAAGTTCTTAAAATTGATCAATATTGACTCTGTTTAGCTAATTTTGTAACCAAAAAAAATATTTTCCCACATAAATCCTCATATGCTTGTTAAAATTTTGATCCATGAGTTTTATATTTGATTTAGAAACCCTAACAGAGTAAACACAATGTATTAACTTGTAGTATTAACACTAGATATGTATAGGGATTTTTTCGTTACTGTACACTATTTGAAACTTTATTACCAAAAATGTCCACGTTTAGTTAATTATCCGACCTAAACAAGTTTTATCTACAAAATATATACATTCCACCTTAAAAAACTCTCAATCCATTATTAATGCCTTCAATCGAGGGATTTAGTTACACCCTTTTGCTTTTTTTTTCTCCTCCTCTTTCCTTATTTTTCTTCCGCCTTAATATACGGTAATCATGGAAGCTATTTTTCTCCACCCAACTCTCTAAGTGTTATCCATTTTGATGAATAGCATGATGATCAAATCTTCCTCCCATATATTCTGGGTTAAAAATATTTGTCTTCTGGAAAATATGCTTGTCTTTTTCCTTATTTTCAGTCTCCATCGTGTTATTTTATTTTTAAAAAGCATAGTCATGTTTGAATGAATACGTTGACTAATCAGTTCATATATGAAATATAAAAGCAACTTTCAGTTCATTAAAAGGACTTCCAACGGGTTAGTGTAACTACAGTCAAATTGCTCATTCTATTAGAGGTGAATTTTGCTAGCCAATAATTTCAAATGTTAAATTTTTTCCGCAGAAAAAGTGTATGTAATACAGTAGAATTTGGGATGGATTTTAACAAGATCTAAAAGAGAACTTCTACTGAATCTAAACTTCATTGCATATTTATATTCAAACTAAACACATAAAATCTCTATCTCTAAGAACAATATATGTTACATCAACATACAAATAAAAAATTTATCTACAACTTTCATACATTATTTCTACCAAATTATATACAACTACAATATTATATCAGTTAAATACAATTTTTATACAAATTTTATACAATATGTCTTTTGTATATTTTGTATCTGATTTATACATAGTAAAAATAAATTTCATACAACTAATTATATATTATACAACTTATCTACAACTTTCATACATTATTTCTATCCAGTTATATACAACTACAATATCATACCAATTAAATACAATTTTTATACAAATTTCATATAATATGTCTTTTGTATATTTTGTATCTGATTTATACATAGTAAAAATAAATTTCATACAACTAATTATATATTATACAACTTATCTACAACTTTCATACATTATTTTTACCCAGTTATATACAACTAAAATATCATACAACTTAAATATAATTTTTATACAATATTGTTCAACTTTCATACAATATTTAAATAAAAAAAAAAATATATAAACAACATAATACAATTTTTCTACAATTATGCTACAACTTTACTACGACGACGAAGAAGAAGAAGAAGAAGTTACTACAATTTCATAAGTATAATGTATGTCGTGTCTCCTCCTCCTCCTCCTCCTCCTC